GGGGATGTGGATGGTGGCACCAGGCTCCACTGCTCTTGCAAGTTTGGAAAAATAATCTTCCTAAAACAAGTGTGGCCATAGAATGAAATATTTGTTTATCTGTACGAAGCTGTCCCGTTAGGTTTACATAACACACGGTGACATCACACAGACGAGGCACCCTCTCTACTCCCTTCCACAGGCAACACGGTGCCCATAGCGTTTGTCTTTGTGCAGTGAGGCACCACACTTGCCTTTTCCTTCCTTGGGCTCTTCTGTTGAGATGAACCCATTCTGCAAAGGTAAATTGTTAACTTTTAATAATGAACAATGAATAAACAACTCATGACACTTCAGAAAAACATTCCCTTTGCCTCCAGATCGTTTGTTTGTGACTTTGATATACTCCGTTGACATGTTTTTATAGCATGGTTTTAGCCACAAAGAAGAAAGTGGATTCGTCTGATGAGAAGTTCTGGCCTAACACGTAAAGGTTGACTGAAACCGGAAGGAGGTTCCACAGATAAATTACTTCAATGTATTTTCCAGTTAAGGGAGTCTACGTAGCGTATGATTCCAACAAGATGTTTGCAGTTTTGTCCATGCTGAGCATGGAATCTGTTGATCGGGCGTTGTGGATGGAAGCCTTAGCATGGAGTCTTGATTGGCTGCTTCAGAATCACATAGGGCAGGTCTTTGATCATATGGGGGCCTGAGATTTGCTCCCAGAATTTCTCATTTAGGAAGTTTGAGGTGAAGGTAGGTGCCTGCTCTCTTAAAGATTCCCGGGTGATCACCAGGACTTACCCCCACCCAGGTTGAATCTTTGGGTGCTCGTTGCTAAAGAAAAATGGATGCTTGCGTTCCACCAAAACTAACTGTCATATCTTCCCTGTCCAAATTATGTGGGAATGACTGCCATGTGCCGAGTGTGGGGAGGCAGCTGTGGGGGTGAGATGCGACGGCTGCTTGGAGCTCAGACCCTCTCCCAGAGCTGCCACGGGAATACATGTTGGCGCATTTGAAGTGGGGAACTTTTAGCAAAGGCAAGTTAAAGGATTTACATGTCTTCAAATAAGTTTTAGATGTTGACAAGTTCCATAAATAATATGGAATTTTTTTTTTTTTTTTTGCCTTTCTAAACCGTAAAGTGTTCTCTTTTAAATTTCTAAGATCGCTTTGGAACCAGGGGAATTAAATCTTTTATAGCTACTCCTTAGCTTCAAGGCCAGAGTCTGGTTGCATTCGAATGCCGGGAGAGATTACAACTCCCACAAGCCAGGCTGCTTGTTAGTAAATACATTTGAGTGAGTGGACGCTGTTCCAGAGGATCAGTGTTTATACTTCACCAGACAAATCATTTAGGGGGAGAAAGCCTGCCTGTTAAAAAGCAGGCCTGATGTGACTAATGGCAGTTCTGGCCCCAGCCTGGACAGTGGGGGCTCACAGAGGCCAACCTGGCTCACTTTCGGCTCCCTCTCAGCTTGGCAGATTTAGAAAGCGTTTCCGACTGAGGGCCCCAGGGATTCCGGTACAAAAATGCTGAAAACCCTCAAGTACAGTGGTATGTTTATAAAAGTCACAGGGGCCCCAGTCCCGCCCAAGAGAAGTCAAGGAAATGCGTTTGTCTAACCTCACAAAGGTTCTCGACCAGAGAACTTTATTTGATTTAATCTATATCCATAGCAATTCTACAGCTGAATAATAAGCCATTTATTATGAAAGTTAGGAGTGTGTTTCTGACTGGGACCCAGGCAGCTCTAGCTGTGTTGTCTCTCCAGGTCTCCTTTTTCAAGTACGGTGACTGAAGGTTTGGGCCCAACTTTCTTCCTCAGGAAGGATTTTTATGTGTTGCCCTGTTGTGAGGGGAAAATTAAGCAACACATGCCCCACGAACAGATGGTCTGTATGTGGATGGTGGTGTGGGTGCCATAGCAATAGCTTCTCTGGATGGGTCCCCACAGAAACTCTTGGGGCAGCCAGAACAGGTGGAAGGGACAAGCTGGTATGGGACATGGGGGCCTTCAGAGCTTGGGAGGGGACCTCACAGCCAAGGACGCATCCGAAGGCCAAGAGAGCCCGTGGACTCTGGGTTCCCCACGTGGTTGCCTACAGCGGGTGCTTCTAGGCAAAGATGAGGGTGAGGCTGGAGAGACAGGCTGGTTCCCAGTGCAGTAGTGCCTGAGAGGTGGGCAAGCTCTGTATTCTCTCCAGGTAATCTCATCAGACCCCTGACTTTAGAAACCATCTCTCTACCACTGAACTTCAGAGAGACCTCTCCAGTGTCCACCTCCCTCCAGCCCTCCGGATTCCTGTGCTGGCTGCCGTTGTAACATCTCCAACAAGATACCTGAAGGGCATCTCAGAACTGAATTCCCCAACCCACTCCCCCCTTGCTTATCCCCATCCCCATCTCCTCAATAATAACAAAAATACAGGAACTATCTTTGATTTTCCTCTGTCCCTCCTCCCTCCACATCAAATTTACCGACGAGTTCTGGTGACTTGACCTTTAAGACAAACAGCAGAGACACCAGCCTCTCTTCAGCTGCATGAGCTCCTATCTCCTCCTCGACCACAGCAATAGCCTCCTCACTGCGGTCTCCCTTGGCATCACCATGTGCAACAGACCACGTCATAGCCCTCACTATGTGGAGTGATTGGCAATCAAACTCTGTTAGAGTGAGTTCAAGAGAAATGAGGCGTACGGGCAGTGACGCCATGTTTTTAGCCAACTCTTGGAGAGTCACTTTGAGAGGCAAATACGGGTCGGAAGGGGTGTGGGTTGGAGATGGTGAGGCATGTTTTGTTTGTTGATGGGGCGATATGGGAGAGGGAGCATGAGGGAATGCGGGAGGGGGTGGTGAGGGTGGCGAGGGCCGTCCTTTTCCCTGGTGTCTCAGGGCATGCAGTTCATCCACAGTCACAGGACAGGGGGCCCGATTACCTGCCGCACAGGTGAGCGTTAGCTCGGCAGGGTGATGTGCCAGCCCAGGGTTAGCCCCACTTCTCTCCGTGAAGTAGGAAGGGGGCTCAGCTGACAACGGGGAGGGTGAATTGGTAGAAGAGGAAGTATGTCAGAGAACATGTGCCTTCTTTCTGAACCTACCACGGAGCCTTTGACCAGGTCTTCCCTCCATCTGGAATGTTCTTGCTGAGGATTTGCACATGGCTGGTGACTTTGTGACATTCAGATAGTGGCTTAAATGTCACCTCCTCAGAGAGGCTCTCCCTGACCTCAGAACCTAAAATAGCCACCCTGCTACTCACAGTCACATCACCCTATTTTAGTTCTCTGACTAGGGTTTGTTACTGAGAGATATTCAGCTTGTTAATTTTCTACTTGCCTACATGTTTATCACTGCATCTCTTAGGAGATAACTAGCACACACTAGGCCCTGAACCTGTAGAGAAATCTTCATGAATAAGCATGAGACATTCCTTTTCGTTCAGGAAAAGATGCAAATGTGTCATGATGGAATACAATAGAACCCAACTTGGGTATATAGACTTGAATAGGCCCGAGATTAAATCTGTGTGTGGGGTGTGGAGGGTGAGTATGCATCCTGGCCCCTTGGCTTCAGCAATGGACAGCTGAAGTTACAAGTGGCGTGTACCTTCTAGGCAAAGAGAAGACCTCTGAGTTCTTCAGGCCACTCAGGACTAGTTGGAGCTTCCTACCAGCCTTCCTTTGCTGGCTTCCTTTAGTGCACATGGGCATAGTTAGAGGTTGTTCCCATTAGTGAATATTATTTAAATATCTGAACTAAGTGTATCAAGAAGAAAACCTTTAAAATAGGAAAATGGAGAGGCTGGGCTGAAAAAAAAAAACTTTAAAAGGGGAAAAATGGAAAGGCTGGGCTGTACTCTTTAAACCTTAAAAGAGATGTCTGAACTGGGCCTGAGAATCCTTCTGGCTCTTCAGCTAGTGCATTTTCAATTGGGCTTAAGAGAAGACTGCCAGCCTAGGGGCAAATGCAAATAAAACCTCATGCATCTGAAACAACCTTCTGTCTTAAAATGATGGCTTATTTCTAACAACTTTAAAAAAAAAATCCTAAACCTTCTAGGAAAAATTAATTAGCCAAAAAACCTTTTGAGGTAGTCTCTGAAAACAAAACAGACAAAAACACCTTGTATACCCTGTTTAAAATAATGCATAGGGGCGCCTGGGTGGCTCAGTCGTTAAGCGTCTGCCTTCGGCTCAGGTCATGATCCCAGGGTCCTGGGATCGAGCCCAGCATCGGGCTCCCTGCTCCACGGGAAGCCTGCTTCTCCCTCTCCCACTCCTCCTGCTTGTGTTCCCTCTCTCGCTGTGTCTCTCTCTGTCAAATAAATAAAATCTTTTAAAAAATAAAATAAAATAATGCATAGAAATATGTATATATTCTGACCATGTGTTTCTTCCCTAAATCTCTGATGATAGTACTGAGGGGCTGAAGCATTCAGGATTGAATCAGTATATCATTCTCTAAAAGGACAAAATAGGAAATGACTGTATATCTAGTCAAGTAACCCAAGACCACTCACCCTCCCATGGCCAGGAAACACTAAAATAATGGACAGAATTTACTTCAGAAAGAAAAGGGATTTCATAAGCACTGATTGAACCACCATTTTGGTTCAAGCCATAGATAACTCTCATCAAACTACCTATCACCTTGGTGGCAGACTATAAATGTGAGGAACCGAACCCAGATTGATGAAAGTGAAGATTTTGATAGATGTTTCAGTTTCTTCTTCTGCCCATAAAAAATGAGTTCATGTGGCTCAGACAACATGCTGTTCAGGGTCCTTTGATTGGTGATGTTTCCTGTTTACTTCTTTAGGAAAGATCCAAGTGACTTGGGCTTTCACAAGCACTGTCTGAGACCTGGGGGGACATAAGTGGTTGTCTGCAGTTTTCCGTTGGTTTGTGAAGTTCACCTCACTGACTGACCCATAAATTACAAACCATATAATCTGCGGGGTGGGGAGGCAGAGTTCTGGACTGCAGTGTTTTGTGTTTCTCCATTATTTAGGCTGGAGGAGAAAAAATAGATCCAGAAGAGGCATTGATCTACGAAGAGGATTTAGATGAAGGGGACGGTGTTGAAGGCGAGGTGGAAGAGAGCACAAAATTAAAAATGTTCCGCAGACTCGCCTCTGTGGCCTCCAAGCTTAAGGAGTTTATCGGCAACATGATCACCACCGCGGGAAAGGTCGTGGTGACGATTTTACTCGGTTCGTCAGGTGAGCGTTTCCGGCACCGAATGGAGCACAGGTAGCACTTTGGTGAATAATGAAAGACATGGCTGAGGAGAAAATACAGAAAGAAACCATTCTGGTCTGTGACACCAAACTCATAACTGTAGCTGCTGGAAAACTAGCCACGTGTACACAGCACACACAACAGAAATCATTTTTCCTGTTCAGTTGTAGCGTTTGGGTTTTTAGTTGGTTTCTGTCAACCTCCGTAAAGCCACCTTTTCCTGTGTCTTACGTGATGTCATGTTTTATGTGTAGATCCGAAAAACCACTCTTCTCCCCCAGAGCCCAGGAAGGGCACTGGGCTCTGAGGAGCAATGTTGGTGTCCCCCTCCGGAGCCATATGTGTGCCTTCTGAAAGCATGTCTGTTTACATTGGGTCGTTAGTAATCTTAATTTAACTCTCCAGGATATACTATTTTTCTTCCTCAGATTGTAATCTTGCAGCACAGACACTCACTTCCTTCAAATCTTGGCTGCCGACTGCTTGTTCCATAATAATGTTATCTCCATCTTCTCCCTCTTTCCAGCCCACAGTTGGCGCTGCTCCAGAGCCGCTGGGAAGTTTAGGCCATACCTCTTTGTTGAAAGTGCACGAGATGAAACAACGTGACTGTTTTTTCATAGGGAAATTAAAAAGTGGGAAAGAGAATAGAATTTCTCAAGAAATATATCCCAATATTGTAACAAAGGATCATTTCAAAATGCCCCCCGCCAAGGTTTTTAAATGCCTGTCAAAGAATGACCTCACTTTACGTGCCCCCTTGTGGTAATAGTGCGAATCAAATTTTGTTGGGTAGGGCAAAGTTTTAGTGAGACTTTGCCACAGATGTAATATTGTTATGAATCCTACTTAACCACACAAAAAAGCAAGTCATTATAAAAAATGATATCAGGGAAAGTTGGAATGGACACACAAGTACTCCTGAAAAATTGGGGGAGAAGTAGAAAGATGGAAACAGGCAAGCAAATATGCTAAATTCTATTGTATGAAAAGTAGATATTTACTCTGCTCAAACACCGTGGGAAGAATTTCTTCATCATATTGTGTTTCCTTATATTTACAAGTATCACTTTATGTATGACTTCTTTTCACAACAAAAATAGCGTAAGTTCTGATTTAATAAATAAAATGTGATTCATACTTTAATAACTTGATCCATCCCTGAAAGCATATGAAGGAAATGTCCATAATCTCCAAGAGTTACATTTCCTGAGTGGTAAATGATTTTCTGGTTCTGTGCAATTTGTCATGACCGTATCTCTTCTTCCTTAGGTATGATGTTGCCATCTTTGACCTCATCTGTGTACTTCTTTGTATTTTTGGGTCTGTGCACCTGGTGGTCCTGGTGCCGCACATTCGATCCATTGCTGTTCAGCTGTCTCTGTGTTCTGCTGGCTATTTTCACTGCGGGGCACTTGATTGGACTTTATTTATACCAGTTCCAATTCTTTCAAGAAGCGGTTCCACCCAATGACTACTATGCGAGGTAAGAGAAATGGTGAAGACATTTCAAGGGGAATTAGCCCTCCTTTATGATCTTGTTTGAATTTGCAGGGGTTCTTCTCACTGCCAGTTGATGCACTCAGCAAAGGTTTGGTGGGGATGGGAGAAGCAATCTAGCGCTTTCAAGTTATTGAATGACAAAGTCTAGAAGGAAGTAGAAGGTCTCTTCAGACAGAGGTGCTGCTGGGACATGGAGAGAGGGGAGGCTGTTGTTTGGTCTCAGCTGTGGAAAGAGATCCCATAAGAACATTTTAAATCAAAGAATAAAAAAAAAGTGTTAAGGCATCCAGCTGGAGGATGCTCTCACAGGCCAAATAATAGAGCATCAAAAATAATAATGAATTGATTGTAAAAATATAAAAATAAGAAGGCATGAATTCATGGGGAAAGAGAGATAGAGAGCTAATTTGCTTCAACTGAAGACAACCATTACACCAACTCCTTACTTTGAAAAATGGGAATTAAGAGTAAAGAATCCAGCATTTACTTTGACTTTTTAGAAGGAGTTCTAGGTGATTCTCATGATGAGACAAAACCGACCTTTACAGGATAACACCAGCTAATGAAAGGGGAAGGAATAATAGAATTAGAAAATTACTGTTTCTCAGTTCTTAATGAAATAGTGATTCTCATTGCAAACTGAAACCATTACTTGAAAAAGGTTGTTGGGCTAAAAGATGTTTGCAGAATGACAATGTATAACCTCATTGATTATTTGCCAATGGCAAATGGAAAATCAAACCTTTGTAATGGTGATCAACACCACAACCAGTTGATCAAACTAGTACTACCCAAAGTGGGATAGCTCAACATTTCACACTTGTGATGTGATGCAATATGAAGTATACAGCATCATATTGTTAAACTTTTAGACCTAACCCCTGATTACAGTAATTTATAAAGGATAGAAAAATAATGACTCCACAGGAAAACAATCAGAGAAATCCAAAATATGGATTCTACAAGGCAAATGATCTGATCTCTAGAAAACTCAGCATCATGAAAAGAAGTGTGTGTAGAGGTAGTGAGGGGAGGGACGGTTCTAGTTTAAAGGAGAACTGGGGAAACCCAGCAAACAGATGTGAAGCCCAACCCTAGATTACATCCTGGTTCAACCATAAATCTCTAAAAGACATTTTGAGGTTAAATGGGGGAAGTTTCAACGTTCATTGGTTATTAGCTGATTGTATAGAATCATTGTTAATTCTCAGGTGCATGATTATTGTGTGGGTATACAAGAAAATGTATGATTGGCATCAGGTTACCCATTGTCCTGTTTTAAGTTTCTGTCTCTGTGGAAAAGTTTATAACTGGAAGTTACGGAAAAAATAAAGGGGGACAGAAATGGCGGGAGAGAATGTGAGGGGGATGAAAGCGGTGCCAGTTTCCTTGTCTCTGATGTGTCTGGGAAGTGGTATAAGTGCTTTTTGTCCACTTGTTGAGAAATGAGAAACCTGCAATTTAAAAGAACATAAGTAATATTATCATCCTGATGATATAGATTTGCATCCTTCTTTCAAGGGATCCTTATCTGGTTTTCATGGGATAGTAAATATGAAGTAGCAGTGTGTGTGTGGCCCCCTTTACCTTGCTTTTATTGATTCATGCATAAAATCTGTCTAGTTTGTAGCTATGTCTACACAATGCTAGAAAAAAATTCAAGTTCTAAAACCACTAAAACAAGTTAGTACTCAACACACTTACAACCTAACTAATTCTAAACCCAGCTGGCATAATCTGGAGGCTTAACAAGTATAATTCAGTCTATGGAGACAAGAAAGTTATAGACACAGCAAAACTGAAGAAACACAATATGGAAACAAGCTAAGTGCCCATTGACAGATGAATGGATAAAAAAAGATGCGGTGTGTATGTACATACATACATATATCTGTATTTAAACACAATGAAATATCATTCAGCCTTAAAAAAGAAGGAAATCTAGCCATTCATGACAACATGATGAAATTTGGGGGCATTATGCAAATGAAATAAGTCAGACAGACTTGTCCACTTGTATATGGAATCTAAACAAAAGAGTCAACCCATAGAAACAGTTTAGGGAAGCGGTTGCTGGGGGTGACATGTGGGGAGGAAGGAAGACAGGCTGGTAAAAGGATACAAACTCACTTAGGAGGTGAATAAATTATGAAGATCTAATGTGTAGCAAGCTCACTATAGCTAATAGTATCTATATTGTATACTTGAAATTTGCTAAGAGAATAGATCTTAAGCAGTTTCACCAAAAAAAAGCGGGGGGGATGTTGTAAGGTCATTGGTGTGTTAATTAACTTGATTGAAGTAATCATTTCACAATGTACACGTATATCAAATGATCACATTTTACACTTTAAATATATTACAATTTCATGTGTTGGTTATACCTGAGAAGCCTCTTTAATGGTGCACATTTATGTAATATTTATTTATTTTAGGCAGGAGCGAATAAATGCTAAATTTCAGTACAGACAGTAGTTCTAGACTAAATGAATCCTTTGGTTTCTTCTAGACGTTTAATTTTTGGTTTATTGAACATGCATAGAAAAAATGTTTTGCGCTGTTGGAAGGGCTGACTTTCAGGGGGTGATTTAATTGGGAATGTAAATATCTTCTACATGCCAATAATCCCCTTTCCCCCTAGTTTAAGGCTCTTTTCTGCCATCTGGAGACTGATGATGGGAAATACAGATAATATTCAGAACCACCTTGAAAACACTTTGTATCAAGGATCAGCAAATACATATTTTAGACTTTGTCACAATTCTTTTCAGAAGCCATCGTAATTAGCAAAAGCAGTCATGGGCAGACTTAAAAGAATGGTGCAGTTCTCTTCCAGTAAAACTTTGTGAACACTGAAGTTTGAATTTCATATTATTTTCATATTTCATGAAATATTATTTTTCTTTTAATTTTTTCCAGCCACTCAAAAACATAAAAGCAAAACAAAACAAAAAATGTGTGAAAACCATGGTTAGCTCATAAGCTGTAGCCAAACAGGTGGTAAACAAGGCTTGCCCACCTATAGTGTAGAAAATAATAGTCCGAATGAGGTAATAACATACTGTATTTATTGTTCACTCAAATTGTCACAAAATTATGATTATAATTTATTACATGTAATAATAATCACATTACATGTAATTATAATTACATTTTGTAGATGATCCATTTAAACAGTTTAAAAGGTCCATTACTATAATCTCGTAGAGGTAAGTCATTGAAAGTTAAGTTGCTTATTAGAGCATAGACAGTTTGAGCTAAACAATGAAATATAAATATAAATAAATACACTGCCTTGTTGTAGATTCCCATCCTCCCCCCATTCACTTGGTGATAACAAGGCATTGCATCTTAATCGTAGAAAGCTTGGAAATTAACGTATCTAAAATAATAGCTTTTTTCATAAGGCAAAATTCCAGTGCATTGTTATTAAACCCAAATTCTTAGTTGGTAGAAAATAAACTGGAAAGTGGCAAAAGAAACTCATCTTGTGTGGACATTTGTCAAAAATTTCATAACCACAGAGACTCCAGCGCATATATCCAGCTTCGGATGTGGTTGTTCTTAAAACAATCCAAGCCATTTTTCTTCTCTCAAAAGCTTTCAAAAACGCTCTCTGGTCAGAATTATCTTTATTTTTAGAAAAATTGAATTGATTTGCTTATCATGAGTATAATACATATTTGTTGATGATTATTTGGAAAAATATAATGAAAGATAAGGAGAACCACCTTTTAAAAATGTAATCCTAACTTCTGGAAATAAATACTGTTTATTTCTGAGTCTATATTCTTCTAGAATTTTTCCTAGGCATATATGTGCATTTTTAAAACAAACTTTGAATCATAATGCACATACTGTTTTCTAAGGGTTGATCAAGCAAAATAAAACTTCAGAACAAATCCACATAACTGTATGTAAGCTCATGAATGTCCCAGTCAACGTAATTTGTTTAATAGAATATAGAGCCCTATGACAACTGCTTTTTCTGGAAGGTGTCCCTAACAAAAATGGTGAACTAAACAAAATTTGGCTTTGCTAATGCAGTGTGTAATCTCTTCTAAAGGTTTTGTATTTTCAAGGGAATTTCTATAGACAGGAAACACCTCATATTTTGAAAGACATGAAGCAAGATTAAAGGTGGTGGGCTCGTGTTCAGATTTCTCCAGTTACACTTGTGCTTATCCTCACCTGTTTCCCTACCTGTAGCACTGGCCACATTTATGAAGCTGAGTCTTGGACAATTTGCGTCCCGCAGGTTTTCTGCATTAAAAGTGCAGAAGGTGTGCTGGGTAGGGATGGGGCCAAGAGCAGGTGGACCTGATTTGTTCTGCATTGTCATGAATGGCAGGCACCTTGAAAGGCTTTAAAATGCGTTTGAATGCTATAAACTTCTACTTATTAGTAGCATGAATTAAAAACCCATTGTAACAGTTTGGCAGCACATCACTGACCATGTTTCCTTGTGAAGGTAATACCAAAAGTAATTTTGAGTTGAACTTCTCTAAAAACAATCCTGACAAGAAGTGGGTTCTTTGTCTGTTAATCTTGAGTTATCTCGGTAAAACAGGTAAAAGTTCTGATGTAGGCCAGGGTGGAAGATGTGACAGGAGACTAAAATGCCAATTGTTTTCTTAATTATGATGGAGACACTTGAAACACTATTCATGGACATTTTGCGTATGTTACGCATTGGGATGAGTAGGTCATTCTTATAAATTGTCTATTCTGATCTTCAACTGGCTTTCGTTCCAACTCCTGAACTTTCCAAGAACATTTGCAGGAGTTAACTGCAGACATTGGACTTGTTCGCCCAAACTCAATTTCTTCATTTGCTGCCTTCTTCACTTAAAGATGTGAAGTTTGAACATGAAAAGGCGGGAAGGAATGAGAAAGATTTTTGGACCATTCTCTGTGAAAGTAGGATTCTCTATAAAATAAATATACAGTGATTTGCCCTATGTTACCCTTTTTAAATAAATA